CCTTTCCAGGGCTACAACAAGACCCTACTGAGGCTGCGTCTCAGGAAGAAACAGGTTTCGGATGTGCAGAAGGTCCTGCAGGGTGGGGAGCAGGAGATCCAGTTTGAGGATTTCACGAACACCCTGAGGGAGTGAGCAATCAGAGATCCAGCTTTCTCTGATATTGGTCTATAAATCCTTGACCCTCAACCATACATCCTTTGCCTATAAGCCTCTGATCTTGGCCTATGGGTCTCTGCCCTTGGCTAATAGGCTCTTGACCTTGGCCTATACGTCTCTGATCCTGTCCTTCAGAATTGTGCTCTTGGTTTGAAGGTCTATGACCGTGTTCTATAATGTTCTGGACTTTGTTGAACCAACTCTTGGGAGTAATGTAATATAATTCCATGATCACTGTATACATCCCTCACTCCCACAAAACTCTGATCTTGGTTCCATGCTCCCCCACAAACGCTGGTTTATTTCCTTAGATATTCTCTCCCAGCTTCCCAGTTAAACATATTAACCAACACTAAAGAAATATATTGTAAGTACCAGCTGTAGGCCAGGCACTGAATAATAAGTAGTTGCTCATTGCTAAGGTATCCAGTGAAAGATGGGACATAGCAGGAGGTGAGGCCATAGAAACGGGCAAGGACCACATTGGGAAAAGCCTCAAACACTACTACTCTACCCAAAGGATAGGATGCTCAAGAGGCATGTTAAGCAGGGAAGGGGTACATTTAGACCCATACTTTAGAAAGATCAGTTACGCTAGTTGCATTATAGAGAATGGATTTCAAGTAGGGAGTAAAGGGGAGGCTGAGGAAATGGAGGGCAGGTTATTTAAGGCAAAGAGATTTTGCCATGTAGGAGATCACAAGGGCCCGAACCAGGAGACAGGAATGAAAGAAATAGACTCAAGTGATTTCTTGGGGTAAAATTGCTAGACCTTGGAGATCCCGGCTTTCCTCTGAGGTGGTCCCTTTCTTCCCTAGAGAATGAGACTCCTGCCAGAGTCTGGCTAAAAGAGTAGGGAGTCCATAATCAAGAGATCACAGCCACAGCTTGTCAGAAGTTATTTCATCATCCTGTTCTCCTCAGACTGGGGCACAAAGAGCACGAGATCACTGAGCTCGCAGCTACCTTCACCAAGTTCGACCAAGACGGGAATCATGTCCTGGATGAGAAGGAGCAAAAACAAATGCACCAGGACCTGGAGGAGGAGAGGGTGAGCTCAGCTGCTTGGTGGAGAGGTAGTATAAGGAAATTGCTCACCCTCCCCTCCCTGTCAACTTGCCCAGAACACAAACCCAAACTGAAAACCTTCCAAGAGATGAGCAGGAAAGAGCTCTCTAGAATAGTAGTTCTCAAATTGCTGCCTATTAGAATGCATGGGAGCCTTTAAAAGTCCTCATACTCAGCCCTGGCCAGGTGGTTTAGTTGGTTGGAGCATCATCCCATGCACCAAAAGGTTATGGGTTTGATATGTGGTCGGGGTGCATATAGTAGGCAGCCCATCAATATTTATCTCTCATTGATATTTTTCTCCCCCCACTTCCTCTCTCTCTAAAATTAATAAAAAACATATCTTTGGGTGAGGATTTTAAAAAAATCTTTATACTTAGGCCACACCCTAGACCAGAATCACTGTGTGTATGTGAAAGTTGGGGACCCCAGAAATCAGTACTTTTTAAAACTTCCCAGGTGATTCCAATGCATAGCCAAGGTTGAGAACTATTGCTCTAAAATAGTCTGTAGGGGGAAAGGTCCAATTGCTCAAGAATCCCTGATGATTCTTTCTTTTTGAGATTTTTCAAACTCTTATCCTTAGCTGTCAGTAGTATTCCTGCTTCATCCCTTTCTAGTGTAGACCAAAAAGTCAAGGGCAGGAGGGACAGTATGAGGAATTCTGGTATTGTCCCTCCTTTCTCAAACTGAGTTGGCCTCTAGGGAACACCTCATTAATCAAGGCCTCAAGGAGCTTTGTGTTTTGTTTCTTTGGGTTGTGATTCAGGGCCAGCTTTGTGTCCAGTGCCACTACTCTGATTCCACTGTCTCCAGAGTTTGAGAGGGAAGGGGCATAGCAAGAACTATAGCCCAAGGCCTGTTCCTGAAAGCGAATTAGAACCAGAGCTGATGGCTTCCCAGAGTCATCTTCTCCTCTCTGACCTCTGACTTCCTGATCAGGTGGCCCTCAATGCTGAAATTGAGAACCTGGGCTGGTCCATTGTGAGGAGTTCACCAGGCAAATTGGGTCCAGAGGCTACCGGAGCAGGTGACTGGGTTTCAGGAGAAGAATTTTACACGTACGTGCAGCCAGGGACCAAGAGCTGTGTTTAAATATCCTACCTTGAACTTCTTTCACAACCTTCTAATCCTCTGTCCTAGCCTAGGAAGAACTTCTGCCCCCATTTAATTCTCCCTAAAGGCTGGGTCTTACCTTCTTTTCTTCCAGCTAGACACACACCATTCTGTTCTCCTTCCCCTGCAGACACTCAATCCCCCAAGCACATATTTCTGCTTCCTTGGTCTCTCTCAAATCCTGAACAGGCTCACAAGGAGAGTTCTGCAGCTGGAGTCTGTCCTGGAAGGAGTCCTGGCCCAGGTTGATGCTGTGGGCTCAAAGCTAAGCATGCTGGAGAGGAAGGGGCAGCTGGCTCCCTCCCCAGGCATGGTGAGTGGCCCTTCACCTGAGTCCTCTTGGCTCCCCACAGTTGAACTCTACCATCTTCTGCACTCAGTGGGTGGAGGCAAAACATTTTTGAGAGATCTGTTTTCAGGCTATTGGGTTGACATGTTCTTCACAGTAGTCAGTGTATAGGGGAGGTTAGGGGTGGGGGCAAGGCCTACAGGTGGTTGCTCTGGCCTGAGGGATGCGTTGGCCTCTAGGAGATGGTCTGGAATTGGAGAATCAGATCCAGATAAAAGGAAGTTGGGAGACAAAGTCCTCTTTCTAATGACCTGTCTGTTCCTTTTTCTTCTAACAGGGGGAGCAGGCATTTGGGAACACCTGTAGCCAGCCCCAGCTGTGATTCCAGCCCGCTGGGGAGTCGAGGTTGGGCAGGACAATGGTGGGGGAGGGCTCCAAAAGCATCAGACAGCAGGCTCCTCTCTCACTGCCTTCCCAGAGGCCCCCTCTGCACATTCCCTCTATTTCTAGGGCAACAGTTCCCACCATTGCTGCTGCCAAGTCCTACCCTGTGTCTGGCCTTTTAAGCCCATGTTTCTGTGTGTAACTGAGCGTCATGCTTAGGTTGTGACTCAGTGTTTCTGTGTGTAGCTCTGCAGCTCTGCAGAGCTCTGTGAAATAATATCTCCCACCGGGCCTCTCACACCCTGTGCTTCCCATCTCTGCTGTAGTGATTAAACAAACCATCAAAAAGGTCAATAACAAACAGAATAAAGGAAGGGAGGGTAATGATTTCCCCAAGCATCTGGATAGTCATGATTTCTGAAAAATAGAGCATCCAAGAGTAGCAATATCTAGATGTCTTCCTACTTACCAGTGAGTCTTACCATTGGACATCTAGAGACCTACTTCTAGAACCTGTTGGGTTCTTGTCTTCCCCCATAGGATTTCCCTGTAGAAGAGAAGGGGAAGCCATATAGGTGAGGAGACTCCCATGTCGGGAGATTACAATGTCGCAGGGGAGTTGGAGTGATTACCTCCCCAACCTGAGGAGACAGTCCATGAACGCTCAGTGGGGGATCCTACTCCCAACCTCCTACAGAACACGGAACTGAAGGGGCTGTAAGCCAGGACGAAGTTGGAGCCTGAGGAAAATCAGGCAAACAAATGACCCCAAGATTCAGTGATCTTTGGATTAAGATGTGCTAGGCTCTGACTCTATTCTTCCCTTGGACAGTGTGGGTTTCCCTGGTGACTATCAATAAAAATCCTTAGGAAAATCAAGTCTGTGCACTTGCTTCTGGGACTGTAAGGGGAAGAAAAGAGTTGGAACTGAGAGTCATCTTTGTACTTGGGGTGGGGACAGCTCATCCCTGCTGGGAGGTCTGGAGCGGAGGCAGTGGCAATATGAAGGAGCTGGCTGCTCCAGGAGTCCTGAAATAAGATCTGGCTCATAGGAATGGTTTGAACTGGTGGGCACTATGATTGTACCATTAGAGACTGGAGACAGTCACCTAGGAGACCTGGTCCTCAGAATGAAGGGAATAAGGTAGCCCCCTTACTTTGGTGTGTGTGTGTGGGGGGGGAGACGGGGGGCGGGTAGTGGTATGTGGGGGAGGGTGAGAGGGTGCAGATGGAAGATAACCAGGGATAAGACCAAAAACTTCTACACCAAGATTTTGGGTGCACAGGTCTGCATCTCAGGACTTCCTATATATCGCCTTTCCCTTCCCCTGTGATCCTCATCCCTTCCTCAGTTTGCACCTCCCATTGCTCCCCAGTCGCTTTTTCTTATCCATTTCTGTCACCCACCCCCCGTTCTCCCATCCCATCAAGTACACACTGTACACCCAGGAGACTTGTGAAATAGCACCACGCAGTAAAGAACCACAGTCTATCCTCAGCCCTAAAAAAAGTTACGATCTAAGCCTTCTTATAGAAAGGCTGCATCAGCAAGAGAAGGAGGTGCCATCCTGCAGTTTTAGAAAAAGGAGCCAAGGAGTAGGGGGTTAATCCAGGACATTGGAAGGGAGAGTATTTCGGCGCAGGGATCAACGCCGGAAGGTTTCCCTAAGCCTGAGTGCGACTACGTTCAAAAGCACGGATTTTCCGAGCAGTCGCTGGCGACTAAGCAGCCGGGCGCGGAGTCTCCGGGGAGGGGTGACCGGTCTCCGGTGCCTTCGATCCTCAGACCGACCGGACGGGTCGCGAGTTTCACCAGACTAGTGACCCCTCTAGGACGAGCGCATCCTCAGTTCCAGACGTCGCGACTCTTGGCAGTGGATCCACTCACGATAGCCTTTCTTAGCTGCAACGGTGGCTTCACGCTTACATTTTGTTACTCAAACTTGCGCGGCAAGACTTGGCGGAGGGAGGGCAGGGGAAGCCCTGAGTCCCGGTGCGCATGCGCAGGCACGCCCCAACCGGAAGCGGCGCGGGGCCCAGCATGGCGGCGGCGGCGGCGGCGGCGCCCGAAGGTGTCTCTGCGAGCCAAAGAGAGGAGCCGGTTAGAGGTCCGCCGAGTGGAGGGGGATGAAGTGTCCGGAGGGAGGCCTGGGAATGTGGGCTGGGCCCGGATGCCGGGGTCACCTGGCAGGAGCGGGCGGGTCGGAGGGGCGGACCCGTGTGTGCAAGCGTGTCCTGTGCCCGGTCGGAGCGAGTGAGATGTTTGGCGGCGGAGGCGGTGGGCGCTGAAGCCGTGCGAGGGAGCAGAGTTGAAGTGTCAGGGCGGCCCGGACGGAGCGAGGGGCCTGAAAGTACGGCTCCTGGGGAATTTAGCCGACTCGATTGAATGAGGGCCGGTGGAGGGACGCGGGAGCGGATGCCGGGGCTGGGTGGGGACCGGCCGTTCTCCTTTGATCCAGACGATGCCGCGGTGGAGACGGCGGAGGAGGCCAAGGAGCCCGCGGAGGCTGACATCACTGAGCTCTGCCGGGACATGTTCTCCAAGATGGCAACTTACCTGACTGGGGAACTGACGGGTGAGGCGGGGCACTCCTCGCCGGAGTTGCGGTTCATCGTGGGGGGACCTGGGAGGGGCTTCCGCAGCCTCGGTCTGCGCCCCCCTCACCTGCCCAGAAACATGCCTGTTGGAAGTTTGGCGCCGTCATGAATGGGAAGGAAAGAGGTTCATTACTTCCCTGGAGAAATTTACGAGCTGCCTTCAAAAACACATAAGCCCGGCTGGTGTGGCTCAATGGATAGAGCGATGGCCTCTGGACTGAAGGGTCCCAGGTTCGGTTCCCGGTCAGGGGGTCAGGGCACGTGCCCAGGTTGCAGGCTCGATCCCCAGTAGGGGGCGTGCAGGAGGCCGCCGGTCCATGATTCTCTCTCATCATGGATGTGTCTATCTTTCTCCCTCTCCCTTCCTCTTTGAAGTCAATAAAAAAATATATATATTTAAAAACCACACACAAGAATACTTAATACAGCTGTACAGGCCTCCGTATTGCAGACTAACGCTGAGAAAACAAAAAAGAATCAAGAAGTGCCTCCTTGGCGGGAGGGCATTTTGAGCAGGTTGTGAAGGGAATGATTGGCCCAAAAGGAGGGAAACAACCAGCGTGTGTGTGTGTGTGTGTGTGTGTGTATGTGTGTGTGTGTGTGAGAATGTGGTCTATTTTAATTTTTTTCATCTATCGTTCAATTTTCCAAGTGAGTAATGTGTTTGGCCAAAACAGTTGTATTTATTGAGGCAGAGAGAAAAGGGGATTGGGGAGTGGCCTGCAGATTTAGGGACTTGTTAGGTTGGTCAGAGGATTTGGTGACACCCCTTGGGTGATTACGGTTTTGGTTCCTGGTGTATTTCCAGATGAACACATGATCTGTGTGCTGAGGAGGTGAAGTCTGGCCCAGTGTGACGGAGTGACTATAAAAGGAATGGAAAGGAAGGCATGGGTGCAAGAACATTATAGAAGTGGGATTTGTAGAACTTGTTAAGGTGGGTGTTGAGGGATTGGGAGCAGCCTAAGATGGATGTACTAGTATTTGAGCTATTAAGCCTGGGTGGTACCATTAACCAAAATAGGGAAGTTGGAAAGAGGAACTATGCTTAATGTGAAAATAATATTTTCAGCTTAGGCTTGGCTGATTTTAGATATTACCAGGACACTCAGTTGACTACTATTAAGACACTCAGGTGACTTGAACACATGAGTCCAGATCTCAAAGAGTGGTCAGAGCAGGAGAAACAGATTTTACTATGGGAGGGCACCTGCATAGTGCTGAGAGCTGAGGCTGTGCAGGATGAGATTGGCAAGGAAGAGCTTAGAGGTAGATCAGAGCACCTTGACTAAAATCTCAGGGAATGCCAGCGTAGGGCAGTTAATTTGCTTTTAATAACAGTATTTTAAGTACCTAATTTTCAGATGATTGATTTAATTTTTTTAAATTTAAAATATATCTTTATTGATTTCAGAGAGGAAGGGAGAGGGAGAGAGAGAGAGAAGCATGATGAGAGAGGGAATCATTGATTGGCCGCCCCCTGCAAGCCCCCTGCTGCAACCCTGGCATGTGCCCTTGGCCAGAATCAAACCTGGGACCCTTCAGTCAGCAGGCTGACGCTCTATCCACTGAGCCAAACCGGCTAGGGCTGATTGATTAATTTTAAGCAGATTGTAATTTCCCCCGATTGTCATTTTTACTTGCATAAATACTTATTTGAGTTTGAAAGGAAATACCATGGGAATGTGCCACCCGTGTAAACGTCAGTTACGTGTCACAGTTAAGAAAAGTTGAGAACTGACCGTTAATGAGGTTGGTTTAAAAAGGATCTGGCATAGAAACCAGAACAGTTAGAAGGAGATTTGAAAATCATTGTAATACAGTATACAATTCTATAGCAGCCAAGGGAGAATTTCCTGAGGAGAGGGAGATCATAGTGTCAGACACTATAGAGAGGTTCAGGAGAATTAGAACTATGGATTTCATGGTTAGGAGACTTTGGGGCATGTAATTTCTCAGGATGGTAGGGGCAGAGGCCAGACTGCAGGGGTTCACATGAGTGAATGGTGAGGACGAGGAAGCAGTGAGTGTAAACTATTCTTTCAGAAGAGTTAGCAGTGAAGCTCCTTTGCTTTCTTGAGCAAATGAGCACTTTTGGGCTGGAGGAAACCTGGATATATTTCTAATAGAGAGGAAGATCCAGGATGGAAAGAGTTTGGAAATGTAAGAGAAAGGAGATGATTGAAGAGAGGCCCTGAAGAGAGAGAAGAGTTGGGGATCAAGAACACAGCAGGTGGAGTTGTCTTGGCAGGAATGAAGCACTTGTACTTCTTGGGAAGATATTAAGGTACAGAGACATTTCTAAGTGAGGCAAAAAGGCTGAGGCAGCTTGAGAAAATTGGAGTAGAAGCCATGTGCTTTGAGTAGGGATGGGGCAAAGAATTGAGAATATGAGAAGCAGGCAAATGGTTTGGAAAAGTCAGTGCATAAAATGCAGTGTAGAATCATCACATAGTAATAAGTGAGTTACTAACAAGTGGTAAGGTCCTAGTTGACTGTATATATAAATAATATTTATGGTGTAGTTCCCCAGTTTACATGTTTTCACACTGTAGAAATACCAAGTCTATTTCACTTCCCTTTTCTTAGGACATACGTTTATCATATCCCTTTCTAACCCAGATCCTGAAGTTTATGGATCTTATTTGGTTTAAATAATTTGCTGATTGTTGCCTGAGTTTCTACTTAGACATTTAGAGTACACAGGTGAGTATAAATGTCATACATCAAAAGTGGCTTGCTCCTTTGACATTCCCTAGATCCTGCCGTGAACTACCATTTGGCCTCTAATTCCACATTCCAATTATCCAAGACAGATATTAAAGGCATTGTATCTTCTGTTTGTTTTAAAGCCACCAGCGAAGACTATAAGCTCCTGGAAAATATGAATAAATTAACCAGCCTGAAGTATCTTGAAATGAAAGATATTGCTATAAACATTAGTAGAAACTTAAAGGACTTAAACCAGAAGTGTAAGTAATAATTTTTATAATTACACGTTTGTAATAAATGTTCTGTTATGCTTGGGGCCATGGAGAAGGAGATGGAACATGGCCTCTGTACTCAGGGAGCTCATTTTCTAAGTGAATTACAAAGTTAAGGTGCATTTCTTCCATTCTGAGGAGCAGCATGTTTTGGTGGTGTGGTTATTTCTGCTTCTGAATCTTGATTTGATCAGTTTATACCTGAAAAGTGATGGGGAAAAGAAAGGGTGGCCAGATTCTGATTTAACAATGAAATCCATAAAGGATTACTCTTATGAACAGAAAACCAGAACGTCTATAAATGGAAAATGCTCATTTAGACTGGTAGACTATATTTTTTCCATTAGCTTATATTTGTGTTCCCTGTTTCTTTCCTGGTCTGGGAGTACCCAAGATATGGAATCTGTAATGGAAAGATTGCTTGTAGAATAAGGAATTTAAGAGACAAAGTTAATGGATGAGAGAGACTTGTTTTGTCTAGGTCAGTCATGCCTGATCAGCTAGCTACTGTCTTCTAAAGTGTTTGTCATCCCACCCTGTGTGTCTTAGGCAGAGCTGGAGAGACACCAACACTCTTACATTTTCACTCTTTTCTATTCCACTTGTTGAAGCCATAGAAACATGTGGCCTGTCTTTCTTTTCAAAGATGCTGAACTACAGCCTTATCTGGATCAAATCAATGTAATTGAGGAGCAAGTAGCAGCTCTTGAACAGGCAGCCTACAAATTGGATGCATATTCCAAAAAACTGGGTAACCATTTTTATTTCTGTTTTGCTTAATAAGAGTACCTGCCGTTATGACCTTAGCTAATATGATAGTTAATATTGATGAGGTGCTTACAATGATCTTTTTTTCTTTTTAATGCTCACCCAAGGATATGTTGAGAGGGAGGGAGGAAGAGGGAGAGGGAGAGGGAGAGGGAGAGGGAGAGGGAGGAAGGGAGGGAAGGAGGGAGGGGGGAAAGAGAGCGAGAGAGAGAGAGAGAGAGAGAGAGAGAGAAACATTGATATGAGAGAGAACATTGATCAGTTACCTCCCATAGGTGCCCTGACTGAGGATTGAATCTGCAACTGACATATGTGCTCTGACCTGGAATCAAACCTGTCACCTTTTGGTGCACAGGACAACTCTCCAACTAACTGAGCCATCTGGGCAGGGCTACAATGATTTATTTTAATCTTCACAAAAACCTAGTGAGATTAATTTCTTAGTAGTACTAGTAATTAACATTTTCTGGGTATTTGATATATCAGGCACTGTTCTTAGTGCCTTACATATATTATGTATTTTATCCTCTCAATAACCTATGAGATAAGTACATGATTTTTATCCTTATTTTATCGAGGAGGAAACTGGTTGAAGAGGATAAATAGCTTATAAGGATACAAAGCTAGTATGTGGAAGAGCTGTATTCCAAACCAGGTCTGATTGATTACAAAACTCAAGCTCTTAATTGTGGTTCAGCTGGCTAGAGCTAGAGCATCTTTAATAATGTAGATACATATGTCTTAATAAACAGGATAGTTATGCAAGGGTTTTCTTCAATAATTACTTTTTCTTTAAGGAGGAAACAGTACTTTTAGTGTTGATGGCTTACTAACTGTTTCTGGCTCTTATAACCATGACTAAAAATAACAAAGTTGTTTTTATCCTAGATATAATTTACAGGTTATTTTATTTTTATCAGAAACAATTGTTGACTACTTCGAGAGAGTAGTTTGTAGCAGACTGAGATTTGATGTGGGTGGTGATTCACAGTTTCATTGTCTAAAATTAAATTTTCTGAATGGTGACCTTGAACCTCACTATATAGGCGGCATTGTACTAAGGTGCTTTTAAAGTTTTAAAGACAAAGGGAATCCACTCCATTAAAAAGCCTATTTGATGGTCTTTTAGATCTTTGTATCTTTCAAAATTGCTTTCTGGGGATAAGACAATAAAAGGTAAAACATACATTTATATTTCCTGAGAGTTCCAGTCTGGCTTCCAGAGGGTGCCTGGCACAGTGCCTGGAGAGGCAATTTCCTACGCTCCTAGTGGCTCAAGTGCCCATAGATCTGCTTACTCCCTGTGGAGCCATCTGAGCAGGTGCTGTTGACAGGGTTAGAACCTAGTGAACTTGTGTCGGGTTCTTTATTCTATGTGTGTGTTTGACTTCTTCCCTTAAGCTGTGCCTATCAATAAAACTTAGATAGATATTCAAATATCTGTCCTTAGCTAATATGGTAGTTAACATTTATGGTGTGCCTACAATTTGGACAGCTGATGAGATTGGGGCTAGTAAATTTTTTAAAAATGTAATAAACATTTTTGAACTTGCTAGGAAATACTAATGAAGAAGTATCTTTGTAAGAGCCAGTTTTAAATATAACTCTCACCCTCGCAGAAGCCAAGTACAAGAAGCTGGAGAAGCGATGAAACTTATTCCTGTGGAACAAAGTCTTTTTTTAATGTGGAAGAATGAGACCTGAATCCTGAGGCTGATGAATTGTCACAACTCCTCAGAAGGAAACCATGCTGGCCGTCCCAGAAACATCCTGCCATTGGAGTAAACTGGAGAACTGTGGCTACTCCTGAATTTCTCTTGGGGCAGTATCCCTCAGAAACGCACACTTACTACCCCCTACCTTTTACTTGAATGTTTAATTATCCATTTAGGACACCAAGTCTCTCAAAGTTCAGGATAAACGTGGGCTTTTCAGTCGAATCAAATGAGAGGGCTTATTTTCTAAGTGGCTGGATTTTGAGTTACTGTGTAAATGGTTGTTTTTTGTGTTTATTTTTAATTGAGCTAATGTATTGCTAACAAGAATCTAAATTTAAAAGGGAAAATAAAACAAACTTCTTCACAGTTTCTCATCTTGTGTCAGTAATTTACTTTTCTGTAAAAGTAAATAATAATAAATAAAAAAATCTTAAAATAATTTCAGGCTGAGTCTTTTAGACTGAGCAGAAACAGTGAAAGGAATGTTGTGATAGTTTGTGTATATGATGGGCCCTCCTGTCTCTTCTTTGTGTGAATCAGATGTCTCAGGATGGATGACATCTTGACATGTATTCCCCTTTGGAAATGTGATAAAGACAAAGACAGAATGTGTATGTGTATGTATGTATGAGGTGGGGGTGGGGCTGCCACTCATAAAAAAAAGCATTTTATAAAATATGTTCCTACTTTTGTTTGCAGGATGAGGGGGGCTCCTGGGGACCTGATCATCTTCCTCCCAGACCAAGGACATCAGTAGGTGGATAATACTGACTGACTGGTGTAGTTTAGAAGACAGGCCATCTTATCCATAGTTGGGTGTTAGCTAGGAAGGTGGGTGAGGGCCTCAATTCCATCTCCAAAACAGTTCTCAACTTTGTTTCCATCATTTCCCACTATCTGTGTTCCAGACCACCACTTTACACTCTGCTCCTCTGCACTGTTTCTTTTATTCTGCTCTAATCTTAATTATTCCCTGTCTTCTAACTTCAGGCTGAGGTTACTCTTTTTCTAGTTCCTTGAGGTGTAATGTTAGGTTGTTTATTTGAGATAGTGTCTCTTAATAACGACATTTATAGCTATAAACTTTCCTCTTAGAACTGCTTTTGCTACATCCATAAGTTTTGGTATGTTGTGTTTCCATTTTCATTTGTCTCAAGATATTCTTTTATATTCCTTTTGATTTCTTTTTTTGGTCCATTGGTTGTTTAGGAGTGTGTTGCTTAATTTCCACATATTCATCAATTTTCTAATTTTCCTCCTGTTAATGAATTCTAGTTTAACACCTTTGTGGTTAGAAAGATACTTGATATAATTTCTGTCTTCTTGAATTTGTTGAAACTTGTTTTGTGCCCTAACCTATTCTGGAGAATGTTCCAAGTGCACTTGGGAAGAATGTGTATTCTAAAGCTAAACTTGGCATGCATTCAAGCCTCCTGTTTTTCTGTGTTTTTTCCTTTTTTTAAATTTCACATTTTGTTACACCTACATTGTGTTTATCTTGATCCACCTTCATTCCCATAGATGAGTTTTCTTTTCATAAACTTCAAACTTGGCATGCCTACAGGCTCCTGTTTTTTTCCTTTTTTAAAATTTCATATTTTGTTACACCTACATTGTGTTTATCTTGAT